ACTCAATGGCCCTGCGTGTTGCGCGAGCTCGAGTCAGCGGTTGAACTGGCCACGAAAATTTCTGCGTTTCACCAGGCTGGCCATCTGGCCAACCAGAACAATCCTTATAGACACCTGATTATAGTGCAACTTGTAAATGTTTGTTTTCAAACTTTGTTTTGACATTGAAAACGCAACATGTGTCAAATGCTGGCAATTGTGTATCTTTTGTCAGGAGCCCAACCAGAACGCAGCGCCTCAATGTCTGAGCACCATCTTTGGCCCCGGGCGTGATTTCGGCACATGGCCTGCCATCTGGGGCCCAGTGAAGCCTCGGGCCAAAACATCTCCACTTTCGGCTCCGGAAGGAACCCAGCGAATGAGTAATACCGAGGTCCCAAGGAGTCCAGAAGCCAAGCCAAGTTACAAGTAAGGCTGCAACCCATTTTTCACACGGCTGAATTTTTGGTTAAAGGAAGGATCCTGTTTAGCGGAACTCCAAAAAGTGAGGGCTGTGAATTCGCAGAGGAGTCATCTCAGTTTGGTCATCTTGCTGATTGTTGGTGATGCCTTAAGGCTTCCAGCCAAAGGCAGGTGCTTTGAGTCCTTCATTCCGATCGACACTCAAACTTGGGCGTGTCTTCAAGGCTTGGTACGAGTACCCAAATTTCAGGGTTTGCTTAACGAGAAACCAAAACAAACAGAGAAATCCATGTAGGGAAGTTCCCAGTTTGCCGCAAGCCACGTTTGCGAGACCTGCCGACTGGCTGAGAAGGCAATCTCAGCCCCAGTTAATCCATTTTGTTGCGTAACAGTTTGGGAGCCTGGATTGGCAGCGCTGGCAAGCCGGTCGGTCCAAGGCCCATTCGATGACCTTTGCTCGGTCGGGGTCTTCGCCAGCCTTGGAAGCAGCAAACAGGCACTGCTACTACTGCTACTGCTACTATTGCTACCACTGCTACCACTGCTACCACTGCTAACACTGCTACTACTGCTACTACTGCTACTACTGCTACTACTGCTACTACTACTACTGCTACTACTACTACTACCAGGTTCAAGCGTTGGGACCTGATGACCTTTTGCAAATTCTGTCGCCTTTGACAAGGGGCGCCTCGACAACCTGCTTAACACTTGAATACGATGCGACTTGGAAACCTGCGAACTGGAAACCTCAACTTCGGAGCTGCGGGCAGAACTGGGCTGCTCTTCTCCCCTGCTGAGCTAGGTCCTCCAGTAGAGAGGTTTGAATAAGGGTACCCTTTTCTGTAGTCTATGTTAGTAGGGGAACCCTCCCCACAAGAAAGAAACGGTAAAAGGGCATTACTGGGGGCCCTAGTAAGGTCTAATGGAAAAACCAGCAACCCAACCACCAGGCATGCCTCAGATGCCCAGTGGCCATGGAAAAAAAAGTGCATCTCTTGTTGGTTGGTTGACTTTCAAGGGGAACCCTTCCCGAAAGAAAGGAAAAAGGGCGCCACTGGGCAACTGGGCAACACAAAAGCGTGATTCACTTTGCCCTGGCTCTGCGTTCAAGCAATGCGAAAGAAATCGAGGCGAGCGCCTGCATCTTTGGCGCCGAAGCTGGGCAATGACATGTCAAGCCATCTCTTGTGTCAGGACTGTTTCTGGGTGTCGTTGGGGGCAAACCATCGGTGTTGCCTCACTTTAGACTCTAGTCCAAGGAAGGAGCGCGGGCACTCGCTCAAGGCATTGCTGTATGAATGAGCAACGTATTTGTGTCCTTGGAGCACGTGACTTTTTGAGTGAAGCGGCGGTCCAATGTCAAGCTGCTTTCGGACCTCAGGCCTGAAACTCCGAGCACTAGCCGTCTTCAGTTTTCCTGGCCATGGAACAAACGAATAAGCGTGGATACGGAGGGAGCGGGGATATGGGGGGATTCCCTTGGCGCCATTTCCCATATCAAACTTCAAGGTGCAAACGGGGGAATCCTCCATCACTGTCTCCCCCTGTATCCCTAGTTGGTTTCCCTGAGGCCAATTTTCATACCTGAGAAAGCAGCGCCTCGCGCTCACGGGCAATGAGTACCCGAGACTTGCGCCATGCATTGCCATAAAACCCTGAAGTCAGGTGTTGTCGATTGTGGGGGGCCATCATCCTGAGTAAACCTCCAAGTGCACGTTTGTGACAGCAATCTCAACCCAGCTATTTGCGGCTGATCTCCAAGCTTCGATTGGTCCGGAGATTCTAGTCCTGATGACTGTTTGGAAAAGTCGAGAGATCAAAGCTGGTGACGCCTTGCCATGACGTCAAGCCTTAGATGAAGATCGCTCGGATGTCTACGATTTGTTTCTCGTTGCGCAAAACCACGGCGCCCTCGGCTTCGTTCGCATTTTTTGTTCACAGGCATGTCTGTCAGCCGCGCTCGCCCTTGGGCCTTAGGCGGTGGGCCAGCTGCCAGCTCTACGCTCGTGTTTTTTTTCTTCTCGTTTTTAGGAAGAAGTCACTGAGTACTTGCCTCAGTGGCGTTGCCTTACTGGCTATCCCCCAAGGGTTGCTAGTTCTGGCCTTACTGGCTATCCGGCTACCCCCAAGTTTAGCTTGCATAGCTTGCAGCTCGGGACAATCATGTACCAAGCTAAAGGTCAAAGATCCAACCGCAGATGGTTGTGGCTTAGTATGGCGTCCTTTAGAGAACCTTCCCTTTGGCCTGAAATTAAAACGAGCCATATGAAACCACTGAGTCTAGGTCCCCACGATCTCCCCGGAGTTCCGCAGCAGCCTGTGCCGAGGCGAGGTATAAAATGGTGCGGTCCTTTTATGCGATAGATGGGTCCACTGGAACCTACTAAAATAGACTGCAGAAAAAAGTTGGTACCCTTATTCTAACCTCTCTACTGGAGGACCTGAACAACTACTAGTTACTAGAGAACTGCATTTGGGTGCATCCTTTTTCAACACAAGAGGAATGGTCCCATCATATTTGGCTTCACCAAAACCTCAGGCTCCATGTTAGTGTGATGTCAAGCTCGGATTGGAGCCCCTCCTCAAAGGAATCCCCTCCTGGCAAAAAATGGCCATGAGTCATAACCTATGCCTCCATTTGGGGGCGGATGAACACCCATCTACCACCTGTTTTGATGCTGACCAGGGGTTTCCTAGGTTTTGACCCGCCAAATCTGTGTTGCTTTTGAGCCTCGGGACCCGGCCAAAGCCACTTTCCATCCTCTGCAAGCGGCTCCGGCGGCTCATCCTAAGGCCGAAATGGGGTGAAGCAATAGGCGACACCGGGGGGGCTAAACTCTTTGGCTTCCTTCCAAAGAAAGACTGAAGAGGGCACCGAGCCTCTCAACACCGTGGAATTACCAATTCCACGCCAGTTGCACCAGGACGCTGAGTTTTATCAATCAAATCGGGCTTCGTCCAAACTGTGTCCAGATTCTGCCAGAGTGGATCTCAACTGAGACTGCAGCTCTCTGCGATATGGGCACCGGGTTGGGGTCCTCTTGCTCCTGGCAGAGAGTGGCGCCAATGCCAAAGCAGAATTCCAGGCGCTTGAAACTCAGCTGTGAACACAACAAGCATTCGCGTCTTCTGTGCAGGGAATCCAGGGAGTGAACTCGATGGCAAACAGCGGAATGGGGGGGCCCTGTTGTCACCTGTTGTCACCTAAGTCTGCGTGACAGGAGGGAATGAGGCTCCCAGGCCTTGGCTTGCCAATGAAACCGATGTCAAAAGCTCAAGGATCAGTCTAGCCCTAGCGGCCTCCCCATCGCGGCGTGCCAGTTCGTACTCGACCTGATGCAGAGAAAACTTGGCCACATGAGCTTCGGACCTTCTCAATTGACCTCAGATGGAAAAAACAGAAGAGGACGCAACAGCAAACTGCAATGATGCTGACCTAGGCTGGGCATATGCACAAGGAAACATTGCACTGTCTGACTGTATCCAGTCAACAATCAATTCCGTCTGCGCATCAGGAGCTTTGCCACCACTCGAGCCAAATATACATATATATATATATACACATTCACGCGCGCACACACACACACATGCACAAACAACCAGCATCAATCAGCAACTAGCAGGCGTGTGTAAAGGCACATTTTTCACCCATGCATGCTCTAGGTGGCATACGCTCCTAGACTTCGTATTGCAGGCAAGACGCACACATTGCGCCCCAAACCCAACAACTGAATCAATCACTGTTCACAGAGCTGCGCTTACGCAACAGACATTATCCAAATGCTGGTGAATCATCGATCCAAGCCAGCAACCACAGCCATAGGCTCCAGCTTGCATGCTACAAAGCCCAAATCTGGTGCTGTATTTAAGCGCCGCCTTGCACGGGCTGCATGCTTGCCTGATTGCAATTGCTTCCTTGAGCGGAGATCTGTCTTCCTCAGCTCCCGTGACAACTCTTAGACAAATCAAGCAAGATTCTGCAAACATACTACATGACATAAAGAAGCAAACACAGAGATACACACACACACACAAACCACGCCTGCGACAACAAACAACGCTCCACATAAATGCAGAACGGAGAAACTGCCAAACAGTTTTTAAAGAAGCCTTGCTCAGATGTTCAGTGACCCTGGGAAAAAAGGAACCCTTTTTGGGGAAGACTATTTTTAGTGGGTCAGCCAAAAAAAAAGGAAAAAGGGTGCCACTGAACAACTGAGCTTGGCATGCCGGGCTTAGCATCTCAAATTGCCGTGGTGGGGTGTGCCGTCCAGGGTGGCAGGGATCGACCGCTGCCGCTCCATGCAGTCACAGTTCTCCTCCACCTCTCGAGGGGAGGAAATGGAGGGCTCGGTTCTTGGTTGGCGTTGGAAGGGGAGCAAAAGTTGAAACATAGCAGTTAAGTGGTTGGAATTTCCACTCAACCACACTAAGCAAAAATGTAAAATGCTTCCCAACAACAACCATGGGATTACCAGTGAATCCTCTGGCGTGTTGAACACGTGGCCAGTTCGCTTAATGTTTTCCTTGTTGTTTCTCTTGAAACCCACATGAATCAAGGAGACCGAGCCTCAACCTCTCCCCCCAAAAATATGTAGAAACACATAAAATAAACGGGTGTGTTTTTTGGAGGATACCCCTTTGGGGTGGTTTCAACTGGAAACCAAAAGGAAACTCACTACTTGTGTGCAACATGGTGGCTTACCTTTTGGTTTCCCTTTAAAACCAAAGCCGACACCGCTCCTCCGCAGCGGACACCGTGACCCTAGGTCGGGGCACTGCGACGATCATAGGCACGGCCAGCAAACTGGTCGCAGCCTTGGCTTCGGTTCCAATCGATGGATTCAGGGTCGCTTCAATTCATCTCCTATGGTTGGTGTACTTCTTACATAGTTTCCCTACCAGCCAAAAGAAGGCCCATGAGACACCGGCCGGAGCTTCACGGGCTTGGGATATACCACTTTGTAGCAGAGTCTTCCGTGTTCCCGCGGAACTACCCCCTGGCCTAGGGGGCTTATCCCTGGCTTATTCCCTCCGGAGGTCTCAAGGTCTCATGCCGCATGCCGGGCAGCGTTGATCCAGAATGTGGCCCTCTTGTCGTAGTGGTCGTACAAGTAGCCGAAGAGGGTTGGCGCAAAGATGCGAGCGATGGCTTGGAAACTCTGCTGGTAGCCCAAGGCTTTGCCGTAGATCTTCTTAGAGCACAAGGTGGTGAGTAGCCTGGAAGGACAGCTGGCTTGCATCTTGAAACTTCAACTTCTGAAACATGTTATGCGCATAATTTTCCGGCTTTTCCCACTCACCTGCAAACATGACTTCACTTGGGCAGAACGCCAAGTGGCGAGGATGTTGTCGGGGAAATCAAGTTTCCCCCGCTGATCTGAAGGATGGCCGCGGCAGCGAACCACCCGGGGCTGGGCGCGAAGGACATGCCCATGAAGCCCAAGGCTCTCAAAATTCCACCAATCGCGACAGTAGGATTCTCTCCGATTCGCAAAATCATCGGCTTGTACACACATATCGCCATGATGAACATGGTCACGCCTGCAGTAGTGAACAAAGCACCATAAAACTGTCCACTGGCAACCTGATCACCGGGATAGTACCTCGGGACAACACGCGAAGCGATCTGTGGCGCTTGTTTGTTGCTTGCCAAAGCAGTGCAAACCGACACCTGGCACAGAACCACTCGTTGTTTTCCCATACAAGCCACCTCCCGATAGGCTAAGATCAAGTGAAACAGTCCCAGTTACCCACTTTGAGAACTCCCAGACATGAAGCATGGGATGACCACGAGGGAACCCAAGGAAAAAAAACAAAGTTCACCACTACAGAGAAACATACCCATGCTTTTTGGGGCCAAAGGGAAATGTTTAAAACCACCCACAGAAATCGTCTTACTATAAAGGTTGCGCAGCATGTCCATCAAGTAATATCCCGTGACGCTCTCGAAGGACGCGAAGCCCAGCATGAAGAGGAAGCCGGCGCCGAAGAGAAGCCTTCGACCGTGACATGCATCCTGGATGCATGTAAATAACCCCGGCCTTTTAAACCTCAAAAGCCATCCCAAAGTGTACCAAAACATTTTTTTGGGAATATGAATGGGATACCACCTCCAAGAGTGGGTGGACATGAAGTCCACCAAAGGGTCTCCTACGAAACCCAATTTATTCCTCAAAAAATGCCAAACCAAATGTCAAGGAGATTCCCACAAAACCGGACCCAAACACAATTTTGATAATAGGGTCCCAACTGCAACTACTTCAAGGGACCCCTGGAAAATGGAACAACACCCATCTAAAGCTGTGCCATCAAGCCCTAGCCCTAACCAAGCAAACCTAAAAACGACTCTGGCAACTGTTTTGGGACCCAGTGGAATCTCCGAACCTAAATCTCTGAATTGTGGTGATGCGTCCCAACGCGCTAAACATTTTTTATGGGTGTGTCTCAAATAGGAATGGGAACCCCCTTTTTGCATGGGAAGTGGGATAAAGAAACCAAAGGAAACCACCTACCAGGAATTGGTCCCCACTTTTGAGAAAGTTTTGCAGGTCCATGAAAGAGGGCTCTTATGAAAGAAAAAAAAGCAAATCCAAGAGGACCCCAGTCGGGTCTGAGTGAAGCTGATAGAAGGGGGGTCAGGTGGGAACATGTGGGAACGATTGCGTTGCTAGTGAAGCTGATAGAAGCTCTAAAAGTGAACTCCAGGTGGGAACGAGTGCGTCTCTGGGTTTGTTTGAGCTGGTTTACCGGAGGCCGAGGCTTCATTGGACAAAACATTTCAATCAAAGGAAGCTGGCGAGCTCCCGGGTGCTGCGGTCCCAGGGACCCTTCCAGTTGAAGGCTGATCAGATTCACACACCCGACACATGCGGACATTCGCACAGCCGACAAAAACAAGCCTGAACTTGTTGGCTTTCTATGCTTTCTGTTGGGTTTGTCTGGAAATGGAGCCCCCACAAAAGGAGTAAGTTTCATTCGGATTCCCCAGCAACCCCAAAGAACAGTGTCCAATCAAACAAAACAATCGCGAGACCCTGGTTTGCAACTGATCAGTTCTTTGGAAAACTGGAAACCAACAGGTAAGCTGGACTCGGGGTTGGAACAACGGGTCCCAATAAACAACTATCCACGCAATCAACGTACCAATGAAGCTTTGTAACAAAAGGTGGTTAGCTCTGAACGAGCACTAGAAGCATGCTTACGGCGTCCTACAATCACATCAGCTCCTCCGGCGCATGTTACCTGCAACAAGTCACAAAATGTCCGATTGACTCTTGCTGTGAACACCCGTCCCATTAAATGCCTTGGCGTTCTCTCCAAAAGTGAATCACACGCAACCCCCCCCCCCGGTCAAAAAATCCACTGGGTCTGCAGAGAGATGTGGGGGCAACCCCAGTACCGCTGGTTGACCAACATCAAGAAGGAAGTCCTGAAATTGAGGGCTGGGGGGAAGGGAGGGGAGGGGGAGGGAGCCCAAATAAGCCCTAGATCTGGCCGTATTAAGGGCAAGGGCTTACTTGGGCTCCCTCCCCCTCCCCTCCCTCCCCCCCAGCCCCGATCAACAAGATGCATTTGGCTTAAAAGTGTTCCATGGGCTGCTACAAATCCCGGTGGGGAAGGGAACTCGTTCCCATTGCTTCGAGCCGCCCAGCGCTCCAGGGCACGTAGTCCGCGCCAGTGTCCACGGAGCTCTGGCGCTGCTGCAGCGCAGGATTTGCCGGTGGCGCCAATCGAGAGGAAGTGCGCTCAGCCTCTAAGACACAAAAAAAGAGACATCTACGGGGAATCGTTCAACGTTCTCCTGTAGATGTTTCTGTTGTTCTTAGTGGGTAACTATTTGACCAATTTCCTGCAGACTTTCCTGTAGCTGGTTTCCACAAAAGCTGAAAAACGAGACATACTGTCCAACAAACGACAAGCTGCATCGTTGGCCTTCCTTGCCTGAAGTGCTCGAAGAAAACAACGTGGCTGTCAAACGTCAAGTGCGAATCACGCAAGCCTTTGGTTGGTTTTATTTTCAACAGCAATAAACTACCCTACCCAGAGCCTCTAATAGGCGGAATGCAAACCCCGCGGCTGCAAACTGCACAGCTTCCCTTTTTTCCCATCGATCGAAAGCTTGCCCAACAAAAACGGGTAGGCGCAACGGCACGTTGCACCTCGGAGCTTCGTGGAAAAAATCCCCCCGAAAAGAGATGTGGTATCCTTTTCGCCAAGTCCAACCAAAAGGTTGGGTTCTGGGAACCCCCTCTGTTCCTCAAGACCACACAAAAACAAGTAGGTCTCGAGGCACCTGCAAGACTCCTCCATCACCGGCCGCATCAGCCACTTGAGTCTGCGAAGTGAGGGCTTCCGTTACCTCCCTTGCGCTCCCCCGTGAGTCCGTGAGGAAGCACAGGCCGATGAAGAAATTCCTGAACTCGTGGAGAATACTTTTTTGGGTTGAAACAAATGACTTGACAAACCAGTTGTCGGGGTGATTGCAACACGGAACACGAGACTGCGGATTGCAACTCAGACCCCCAGCAGCAACGGGAATACACAGCACTCTATTTTTGGTCGTTGATTTTAACGGGAACCCCCTCCTGCTGGGTGTTTGGGGCAATGTTCGGCACATTTTTCACTCGATCTTTTCGGTACGCACAACTCTTCTGTCAGTGGACGCTGCTCGGTCAGGGCCTGTGTTGCCGCATTCTCTAAAACTCACAGGCATTCTCCAAACAAAAGGCACCCTTGATTCCTCTTTGAGTAATTGCCCTTTGGCTTCGCTGTAAAGCAACCCCGAAAAGAGTAGCCTGAAAAAGGACGTGATCTCCGTGCCTTGCTTGCTTCCTGATGGGTGATGAATTGCTTGAGGTAGGTTGGCCCATTTAAACCCCTCAAAGCCGTCAGAGGGAACCCTCTGCGTTTTCACTCTCCCACCAAAAAGCCAAGCTTTCAACCCCCCGAAGGCCCCCCAAAAAGAAACCCGTCAAGCTTTCAAGTCCCCCCCCACACCAAGAAGGGCGGGTCGTCCTGGGGGGCTGCGTTTTTCAGATTCCTGGAAGCTGCGTTTTTCAGATTCTGGGGGGGCTGCATTTGCTTCCTCTGTTTGGACTCGCTCCTTGTTTAATTCTTCTTAGCTTTAACTGGAGTTTAAGTTGAACTTGATACATGCACAAAGTAGAATTCATTAAAAAAAAAAAAAACGAGGTCCCAAAGTTGTTAAATACACGTTGATTGAATGTCTACTGATTTGCAAAGCCGGTTCTATTGGAAAGGACATCCTGTGTTGGACTCTGTCCTCATTAAGTGCCATGCATTTAATGTGCGATAGAAAGCAGGTAGAACTTGACAAGTACATTAAATAGATTTCATAAGGAAATAAATTAGCGGTCCCGAAAATGTTGAACACATGTTCCTGCGTAACATTTATGTTGAAGTACAATAACCAATATTCAAATTCTACTTTAACATCGAAATTATGATTGGAACCTGTCCTTATCCACCGGCCCCTCGCCCAGGAGGGGAGGCGTATGGGAAGTGTCATCATAAACTATCTTTCCTTTTTATAGTCTTATATTCTGATAGTTATTCTAATCACGTACGTTATGCTATTATATGCTTATTCTTTATGCGTCTATATACAACTCAATACTGGCGTCAGACATTCGTCATGAGGGTGACCGTCATCATCATCATCGTCACTGTCTTTGCAACGATGATAGTTATCATCATCATGATGGTGATGCAAAAGGCGCTATGGTGGTAGCTCTTTCAGACAGTGATGGTGGATGATGATACTTACCATTGTGATCATCATCACCATCATTACAACCACCATCTCTTTTGCTACCATGATAGATATCATCATCATGATGGTGATACAGAGGGTGCTATGATTATGGTTTTCATCACCATCACCATCATCATACTCACCATCCCTTTCCTTTTTCCACAACTTTCAACACTTGCGTTAGACACTGATGAAGATGCGGTGAGGGTAGTTACCGTCATCATTCATCATCACCATGATTGATCACAATCATCATCCCCCTCATTTCTGATACTTACATGTCAACACTGGCGTTAGACACTGATGGTGATGCTTGTGGTGATAGTTAGCGTCGTATGACCATCATCCCTTTTGCTGCCATGATAGCTCTCATCATCATGATGGTGATGCAGAGGATGCTAAGGTGATAGTTATCACCATCATGATGGTGATCATCAACATCATCACCATACTCATCCTCTCGTTGCTTTCTTGCGCGGTATGACACTGAGGGTGGTGCTAAGGATGCTACGATGACACTTTTCATCGTCACCATCATCACCCTTGATACGTAGTGATCATCATCATGATTGTGATGCAAAGGACGCTATGACTACAATTATCATCATCATCACCATCATTATAATCATCATATCTTTCTTTTTTACACCGTTCCTCACTCACGTTGGCCCTGCTGGCGATGAAAAAGATGCCATGATGGTAGTTACCATCATCATGGTGGTGATCATCATCATCACCGTCATCATCATTACCATCATCATAATCATCATCTCCCTCTTTTCTTACGTTCACATTTCAATCTGGCGCTAGACAATGATGGTGATGCTAAGGGTGCTGTCATCTCTTTTGCTGTCATGATAGTCATCATCATCATCATGATGGTGATGCAAAGGGTGCTATGGTGATAGTTATCATCATCATGATTGTGATCATCAACATCATCACCATAATCATCCTCTCGTTGCTTTCTTGTACGGTGCGCGCACTTCAGTACTGAAGTTAGACACTGAGGGTGCAAGTGGTGCTAAGGATGCTACGAAGATACTTATCATCGTCATCATCATCACCCTTGATAGTTATCATCATCATGATGGTGATGCAAAGGATGCTATGATGATATTTATCATTGTCATCAACATCACAAACATCGCCATGATCATCATCTCTTTTGCTACCATGATAGTTATCATCATCACGACAGGCGTATATTTCAGTACTGACGTTAGACACTGATGGCGGTGCTAAGGATGCTATGAGGATAGTTATCATCATCACCCACGATAGCTGTCATCATCACGACGGTGATGCAAAGGGTGCTATGATGATAGTTGTCATCATCATGATGGTAATCATGATCATCATCACCGCCGTCATAATCATCCTGTCCTTTCATCTTATATATGCATTCTAAAAAATGACGTTAGACACTGATGGTGGTGCTAAGGATGCTATGATGATAGCTATCATCGTCATCAACATCAACAAACATCATCATGATCATCATCGCTTTTGCTACCATGTTTCATCATGATGGGTCTGCAGCCTTGGGCTTGTGAGTCTGTGGGCTTGCCCCGCTGATGCGGTGATGCTAGGGATGCTGATGGTGATTCGCTGAAAAAACGCAGGCTGTTCGATGCTGAACGCGGGAAAACACATGCTTTTGATGAGGTCATAGCTGCCTTGTGTGGCAGCGGGCCCCGCCTTCCGAAGAGGCAGGGCCGAAGCAAAAATGACAGAAGCGTGCGTGGCCCAGAGCTTTAACGCGCTGCAGCCAGACCCTATGCTTCGCGTGTCCCGCAGCGCTGCCGGCAAAAACCACACACGCGCGAAAGGCGACTTTCGTGAAAGTACTACTAGCGGATACGTTTCTTACAACTCAAAAACCTCTGAGCAAGAGCTGGCGTCGCGGTGTCGCGGCCGGTTGTGCGCCAGCAACGTAAATCCGGCACCGCAACGTGTGGGGCCGAAGGCCTACCTTCAGGTATTTGCATGCTGACGCGACACAGACGGGCCAGCGGGCGCTCTGCCCTTCAGTTCCCGTCATTCGCAGTCCTTTACCTTAAGTCCCATTAGTTCCCGTCATTTCAACCTCAATTCCTTTTTTACGTCAGTTTCCCGCTCTCCCTGCATTTCCAATGGTTTCCTTGCATTCCCGGTCACTTCCTTTCATGTCGCCTCATTTCCGCTCAGCTCCCTTCATTTCCTTGCACGCCCTTCATATGCAGTCCCTTCCCTCAATTCTTTTCTATTCCTGTGACATCAGCCTCACTTGCACTTCCCTTCATTTCCCATCAGTTTCGTATAATTTCAAGTCATTTCGCTCCATTTCCTACAGTTGTTTTTTGTGTCCGTCAGTTTCCCCTCATTTGCCTCCAGTTCCCCTCGCGTTCTTCCGCGTCCCTGCAAATCCCTTCATTCTAGTTCCCTCCAATTCCAGTGCCCTCTTCAGCTCCTTGCACTTCCCTTCATTTCCACTAAGTTCCCATCCATTCACTCCTGTTGCCCTTCACTTCCCCTGTCATTTTCTTGGATTTTGTTCCAACCCCTTTTACTTCGCATCGCCAGCATACCTTGCATCATCCGGGATGATGCTTGGAATGCTGGGGATACTTTCCAATATTAAACACCCCCCAAAAAAGCGCTAGAAGCCACAAAAACTCGAAAATCGCTCAACAAATCCGCAAGTCCGCTGGCATGGTCCTCGCATGGTCGGCGGCATGGGGCGGACGGCCTTATGCCTGAAAGCAGCCCTCCGGGCCAGGCCTTCAACTTCGGCCCGGTCACGTCCCCCGCCGCAATGTGGAGCGAAGGATTTGTGGATTTGTTTAAGCGGTTTTTCACGATGCTTACACCCCTGGCATCACTTGCATCATCTGCATCCATGGGCGGCATTGATGCTGGCTGATTTTCAAAATGTTGGTTCCCTGAGCACGTATCCATTGCGGCACTAAGAACGTACAAATAACTGACAGGCGCACTAGCGCGGGCCTTTTCTTAGCTGCTGTCGGATGAGCTATCCGAGCTATTGTACAACTACAGCCTAGAAACTTGCAAGCTAGCGCGGTGCTACAGCGGTGCTAGCACGGAGCTTTCGCGTAAAAACTGCCGATGGTTTCAGGTTTTTTGCAGGGCAGGCATGGCAGGCGCTACAGTTTCGCGAGGTCAGGTTCATTTCGCGCCCGGCCTTTTTGAACGGAAGCCAGATGATGCTAGTGAGAATAGCTTCTGCTTAATGTCTGTTAGAAATTTGATAAAGCTAGTAAGTCACAAGGAAAGAATTCAGAAGTCCCGAAATCGTGTTTTGTTGCTTACTAGCCCCGAAGAAGCCTGGGGTGGACTTAGGATACATTTTACATTCTACCAGTGGCTGAAAGTGAAGCAACAAATATAATATACATTTTATAACTGGGCCTAACTCTAATCATGAAGGCAGCAGTCGGAACCGTGATTTTTTTGCAAGGGCTCTTTTGGCTTCAGAAGGGGACGCTCTGATACCTGCCAACAAACCAACGAAAAACACCCTCCCCCCCAAGAAAAAAACAACAACAAACAAGCCCCTCATCTTCACCTCGTTCAAGGCCTGGGTTGTGTTTTTGTTGTTCCCTCCGATGGGGTGTTTCCGCGCGCTTTTCGCGTTTCGTTTCCCACTGTAAACAAGGGTTTCAGGGCCATTTTTGACGACCTGCGCGCGGGTTTGGAGCAGTGGGCGTATGTTGCGTTCACGGGCACACTTTCATGACTGAGCGCACGCCTGCCACATGATAAGCACCCACATTGACGCACGCATTATCATCATTGCGTGCATGCACACATTATCATCATTGCACACATTATCATCATTGCGTGCGTGCCTGCCACATGATCAGCATCCACGTTCACGCACACATTATCATCATTGCACACATTATCATCGTTGCGTGCATGCGCGCATTATCATCATTGCACACATTATCATCATTGCGTACATGCCTGCCACATGATCAGCATCCACGTTCACGCGCACATTATCATCGTTGCGTGCATGCCTGCCACATGATCAGCATCCACGTTCACGCACACATTATCATCGTTGCGTGCATGTCTGCCACATGATCAGCATCCACGTTCACGCACGCATTATCATCATTGCGTGCATGCCTGCCACATGATCAGCGCCCACGTTCACGCACACATTATCATCGTTGCGTGCATGCCTGCCACATGCTCAGCATCCGCGTTCACGCACACATTATCATCATTGCGTGCATGCCTGCCACTTGATCAGCATCCACGTTCACGCACACATTATCATCATTGCCCCAAGGGCATATTTGAACATCGATGAAAACAAGCAGCGTCTGTGGGCGTAAAAACCCCAAGACGCATTGAACAGACAGAAAACTCTGGACCGAAAAACCGCGCGGTGAGAGCCCATCGAAGCGTTGTTTGTTTTGTTGTTTGTTGTTTGTTGATTTTTTTGGGAGGCTAAAAACCAAAACACTGTGTTTTTTAGCACAATCCCATCATCTTCATTTGCTCGTTCGAGACCTGGGGTTGGTTGGAATTATCATCTTTACATAGGCTCATTCTAAGTCAAATTCTATTGGAAAAAAGAAGTTGTGATTGGGTTCATTCCTTATCGGTGATTGGATTTATTATTCATCAAATTATGCTTAAACTGTAGTTTAATTGTAAAGTTCTATTGGGAAAGGATCTCCGTCTAGAGTCTAAATGTAAGATGCAAATCGCAGAAGGATTCTGCTCAAGTATATTCTTATTGAGTCCCAATGAAATCCTGTTCAAATTCAAACTGATATTGAAAGAGCGGCTGTTGGTGGAGATGTGAATTGAGTACGAACACCGATCACGAGACGCCGTAAAGCGCCGTGTTTTGCGGTGTTTTCTGGGCATGGCGGTGCTCTCGCGTGTTTTCCGATCCAGGCGCAGGCCAGAGAGGGCCGCAGAGACGTAGCAGGCCACGGAGAAGCCGAAGTGGCTCAGGGCGCCGCCCAGGGCCGGGCCCACGATGATGCCGATGGAGTTGCAGGCCTGGAGGTAGGAGATGTACACAGGCTTTTCCTGGGCAAAAAAAACAAACACGCGCATGGTGGGTGGTAGTGGGGGGGGAGGGGGCAGTTTTTTGTTTTTTTGCTTTTTTGTGTTTTGGGGGGGTAGTAGGGGGGAGGGAAAACCTGTTTTGTTTGTTTTTGCGATTTGTTTGGTTTCTTTTTGGTCTGTGGGCCCTGAAACTGGGATTTGTTTATGTCGGGAAGCCCACAATTGTAAAGAGGCCTGTTTTAGGGGATTGGCAACTTGGGATTTGGCGGTTTATTTCGGGAAGCCAACAGCGGCACATGATATTCCTTCCCACGGCCTTTTAAAAAAAATCGGCTTGCACTCCGAAACGTCAGATTTCACGGAGGGTAATGGGAGCCGTGGATAAAACCGGACGAAAAGGGAGGGGCAGAGTGAAGGATTCCTTTAAACAAAAAAGAACTGAGAGAGGGTACGCTCACAAAAGATAGTACTGCCAGAAATGGGCTCCATTGACATTGGCACATGAAAGTAGGAGATTCTTCATCGTTGCAGGGGGGGATGGAAGAAATGGGCTCCAAAATCGATTAGAACCCATTTAGGATCCCCTGACCAATGAGCGTGATAAGCATAAGAACCCTTCACAGGACCTGTCGAGGCAAGAAGTCTTGCACCTCTTCCAAATCTTCCAGGCCTAGTCAAGATGCAACTCTGTCCTCAGGGCTCTCCATGTTTCCCCTTGTTTCCAGCCTTTAGGGCTCACCTTAATAAGGCCAAGGGGGAGGATTCAAACCACCAAATGCGTACTGACCCGGTGCCCCTGCCGCAAAACGGTCGTTTCAAGCCCTGGGATACCGTTCGTTCGCCCCGTCTCCGCAACCCGAGATGGAACATGCCGCACCTATCGCGGCGAAAACTCTCTTTGAAACAGGATTCCGAACCCACAAAACAGTTGGCGGCCTTCGTGTCTTTTTGGTCGTGTCTTTTTAGTCTTGCTTCAACCAAAAAAGGGTAGCCTCAGAAGGCACACACAGCCACGTCCAATGCAACAACCAACAACCACGTTCTGCAGCAGTTGCGCCAATAGGTCCCGTACAATGGTTGGCTTCTTCTTGAATACCAATTTCGCCAATATTTCCAATCAAAAGGAGGTCCGAATCTTTCAAACATGTTGGGGGGTGTGTGATTCACCACTCGGGGGCTAATGGCCCCTTTTAGGAATCGCTTGCAAACAGCACAAGGCGGCACCAAGGTCCGCAAAGGGACATTTGCGTTATAATCAAAACCCGGTATTCAAATGGTCTACCCAGAACCATGTAAAGAATGAACAAGGCGGCCGAAGCTTTTTACGGTTGGGATTGTCCCTTACTAACCTTCATCTACCCGGGTTTTGATTGTGGCTCATTTGAGTTGACGAGCCCCATCTGTAACAATGCGAGTGTCGTCCCCAGAGCACACATCTGCAATGTAGGCGTTTGCGATACCCACGGTGCCGCCACTCGCGCCGTTGATGGCACGTGCAACGAGCATCCTCACTGGGCTCAACTCTGACTCCCTTGAACCCGATTTAGCTCGAGTAATTGAAGGATCAAAATGGCTGTGAAATTTAAGTGGTGACGTTTGGTGGACATCTGGTGCGGATTCATGTCCGCCGACCACTTTGAGGTGGTTCGCTATAAAATAATGGCAAATGTGTGCTTTCGAAAATGGGAGTCAGATCCCTTTTGGCTGTTTGAAGGGAAGCCAACAGGAAAACAGCTTCTTTTCGGCTAGCCTTGAGAGCACCCAAATGATCAAAGCACAATACTTGGAACATGCCAGATCTTTGGCAAACCAAACTGTGCGAAATTGCACAAATCATCAGATGACATGAAACAACATGATGTTCTGTTGTTTGTTTTTGTTTTTCTTTTTTCTGGCAACAAGGTCGCCGATAAAGACCAGCACACGCGAATACAGGATGAAGTCAGCTGATGCATTCATTGAGGATTGAACCTACACTCGCACACAAACGCGATGAACAAACACGTGCTGGCCCGGATAGAAAGAATCCAAACCATCTCCGTCAAACTCAGCATTCCATGGTTCGCGCCAGCTGTTTGATATCCACCATGGACGGCATTAAGCAAGCGACACTCCGGGCCTTGCAAATGTCCAAAGAGACAGGATTGATTGAGGATGCTACCGCATGAACTGCTGGCTTGGGAACCGCTGACAGTTCACAGGTGTGAAGCATTCTGGTCGAAGCACCTATGGTTCACCCAAGGCTCTTCCAGTTCGAATTGGTCAGGGCGAATCAAGATGTGCCCTTTCAAACTTCAACCCAGGAACTTGGGACATGGACAGTTCTCTTTAGATCAGGGTTGTCTGCATCACTCGGGGAGTATCTCCACTGCGATATCTTCGGGAACGCCCCCGTTTAGGGAGGGTTGAACGTTGGTGCGAAGCCATTGTTTTGTTGTACCACATTTGCCCGGATTTCCTTTTCTAGCCAAACAAATATATTTATACCAGAAAAAGAAAAAAACACACATCTCTTCTTTTCCAAGGAACAAAAACAAAAACAACAACAAAAACGCCCTGGACCCAGCCAACTCTCTTAATGAGTTCTTTTCGGATTTCGGTTTTCCAAAAAAGACCGAGGCGCACGTTGAAGGTCCAGGCGAAGCCCGTGAGCGCCGTGGAGAGTGTCGTGCCCAGCACTGCGATCAGCAGCACCGGGCGCCGCCCGAAGGCGTCCGAGGCGCGGCCTGGCGGCGTCGCTGGGGGCGTCGCTGGTGAGGCGACCAAAGCGTTGAAGTTGAGGAAGCTACAAGGAAACACGGGCCATTGGGTGAAAAATGGTGAAAGCAAAAATGGTGTTCACCTTCTTTTTGGTGTCAGCCAGTGAGTAAGTATCAGCTAGCATACCCAAACAACGTACACTTAGAACTGACACGGACAAAAATATGTTCTTTCAGGAAACGGATGGGCAACAATTGGGCACATGTGCCGACTGATTGCGATTTACTCGCTGGAACGGCTTGCCGGTTTACATCTACTTTTCCACTGGCCAACATGCCCTAGTGAAATGCATCTGACCTTCAACGCAAATGGCCTACCTGCTTTCCAGCTTCTTCTGCAGTCTACATATGCGTTCAATTCACTGCTTTGTCCAAGACGTCGTCCTGTGAGCCTTCACCCCGACGCAAACCCTGTGTTTGACCACATAGTTGACTTGTCCCCGCTTTCTCTATCAAGCCATGTTTCGGCAACCCATGAAGCAGAAACCGGCACATGGTATATATCTCAGATGCCCAGTAAATCTCCATGGGAAAAAAAAAATAGATTGGCACCAACTTGTCTTGTTGGTTGAGTTTAAAGGGGAACCCTTATCCCAAAAAAGTTGGAAACAAAAACAACAGTTGAAACAAATGGAGAAAAACAAGTACTTCAATATGTTTAAACCCTCATCCACAAAAGTTTTCACGGGCAACCCGAATCCAATGGGCAACAGAGATATAGCAAAGCTTTCCGGATCGAACTGAAACGTAGGTGTTTTCAGACGGGGAAGTTCCCATTGCGCCGCTTTGCAGCACCCTTTGCACATGTAGGTATAGCGGAGGAAAGTAGCTAGCACAAAGCTGTGCTTTTTTTAAGCTTCTACTTGCACACACACACACAAAGAGTTGCTAAAGCCAATCACAACTCATAGTAAAACACCCTGCATGCAGCAGCCTTCATTGCTGTAGTCCTTTGACATCTCTGTCAAGCTGGGACCAACCCCTGGGTGAAGCATATCAACACCACCAATGTGCTTAAGCAACATCCTTCATGTTCCTCCTTCAAGCAGACCTAAAACGTGTGATATTTCTTGCTTGTGTTCCTTTCAAACAACCCTGGCCCGCCAACTTTGGGATAACCTTTAAAGGCAACAGGACGACTGCAAAATGTTTTGGGACCCCTTTTGAGCAGAACCTGACGCCGGTGCGGCCAGTTGTCCAGTGACCCGAATTGCCCCTTGGGACCGGTTGTCTACAAAAGGGATTTGGATGGCGCTCACAAAAAGGGATTTAAAGAAACTGCACCAGTCAGTGGCCAATTTCGGGTTCCCACCAGATGTCGCAATTTCGGATTCTTTTGGCCAAGCTAACACTGCTCCTTTTCGGTCTTCGCAAGGGCGGTTTTGGCAGCCTTGCGATTCCAACAAGGGGAACCATATTTGGGACCACTGGGTTGCACGTCCGTTGGGCACGTGGCATGGCTTGGGTTCACCTTTAAGCTAACCAAAGGGCACCCGCAAGATCCTCCATTTGACGGAGCCAAGTTGCCCAAACACTTCCTTTGGACTGCCTTACCACCAGGCACACTCACACTCCTTTTTCCCCCCCTTTCTCTCAAGCTGCAGAAAAATCACCCCTCTCTGTCTCTTTCCGCCAATTCTGCCCCTTACCTGCTAATCCACCCACCCCCCCAACCCCAGCCGCGCGCTCCTAGCAGCGGGGTGCAGATCACCTGCGCCACGGAGAAGGCCGTGGCCAGGCTGCCCACCTGCGTGGCGTTGGCGCCGAAGTGCTCCGCGATGGAGGGGAGCAGCGGGAAGACGATGCCGAAGTTCAGCCTCGAATTGGCGCGGCTTGGTTCTGCCTCGAGTTTTTGGGGGCCCAGAAATCCAAGAGGGCCCCCCGGCGTTTGTTTTTGTTCTTGACCACGTCCCATCTCATAAACCAAAAAAAGAAAAACACGGGAGCCCACCGCGTTTTCGTTGGCTTACCCCTGAAATCCGGTCCCAAAAAGTGACGAAAGTCCAGGGACTCGAGACTCGAGTGAGCCAAGCAACTGGCTTTGCCCGTTCATTTCTGGGGCTGAAAATCCGCTCTCAGCAACCACTTGGAGTTGGGATTGGATGGCCCTTCCTGAAAAAACCGGAATGAAATAAGTTGGTCTCACGAGGATTTGCAAAGGATTCGAAATCCTATCCAAAAGGGGGGTGTGAATCCCAGCTTCAAACGAGACACCCTATTATTACTATTATTATTTGTATTATTATGATTGTTATGATTATTGTTAGTTTCTTTTTCATGGGGAGCACCATATCAAGTGATTAAGGAATGCAAATGTTCGACTAAATGACATCACACCCGAATCAGCTTGTCCCATGGTTTGATTGGATTGAGGCGGGTTTGGCACCCTGGTTTTTGTAGTTGGGATTGTTTTTTTCTCCCTTAGGGCGAGTATCAACGAGTAGCAACAGGGCTCCCTACATTTACCTTGTGAATATCGCCAGAAAAGGAAAATCGCTCTAAACTTGGCCCAACAGGTGATGTCTAAAACCAGCAAAAAGGGGGACACATAGGGAACCCTGTCCAAAAAAAAAGGGGAAAATCGCAAACGCGAAACATGCCTCTTGGGTGGTATATGGCACTTAGCTATCCAAAACGGGTACAGGACAGGACAACCATTCTTTTGTCCAACGCCAAACTGATGGTTTTTGGCAACCTGATGCAACCTGTTTGATCTTTTCCTTAGGCGACCAATCATTGATCCGGTGAACATAACACGAAAAGGTTTCCGGGGTAGGACCAAAACAAAACATACCAAAACGGATCTGGCACGTGGGTTCCACGTGCATGCCAAAATAGCGGGACCCAAATGGCAGTTTTCCTTTGGCTTCCTTCGAGCGGCAACACGAAGGTAAGCTCTTGCAAATGCCCTCACATTGGAGCCGACCCAGCCCAAAACTGTATGCAGCGCCGTACACAGTTCGACGTCAGAACTAAAAACAAGCCACAACAAAAAGCCACGCCGCTTGCCAAGACTGGAGCGTGATGGCAAACAATCAGAAAACACGAAGGCCGGTCTTGATCAGCCAACTGAAGTTCATGAGTCTTGGCCTGTCAGGGCGCCAACGTTTGGCTCATTGTTTCACTAGCTTCCCGGGCTTCGCCGAGCCGCATGTCCATCAGAACGATGAGGTACACCGTGTATATCGCACCATTTGAAACCTTCGGCATGGCTCGAGGCCCGGCGATGAATCTTCCTGCGGTATTGATTGACACGTGTTCTTTTTCAGGCAGCTCGGCTTGAAGCAACAGCGGTAACCTTGAGACAGCAACAGCAGCGGACAGGGGCTTCCGTTGGGTTTGTCGCTAAAGGGGGGAACCCCCAAAATGGGTGCTTCCACTTTGGCTTCCCTCAAAGCAAACCCAACAGCGGTGCCCTAAAATCACATAACCAGCCCTCGTTTTCCCCCTCACAAGGGCCATGCCCAGACACTCAGCAGCTTTCTTGGCTGCCAGCCCACGAGACCACGCCCTGCGCCATGGGGTCCTAAAGCCAAATTTACCATGAGCTTGACGTTTTCACTCGGCACTAGTCTAAGATGGTTTCCACCCCCAAACCGAAGCTACGCCCCAAAGACACGTGTACATGCTTGCGTGCTTGCGTGTTTGCCTGCGTGCGTGCGTACGTGCGTGCGTGGATGGGTGGGTGGGTGTGTGTGTGTGTGTGTGCGTGTGGGTGCGTGTGGGCGCGTGCGGGTGCGTGCGTGCGTGCGTGCGTGCGTGCGTGCGTGCGTGGGTGGGTGGGTGGGTGGGTGCGTGCGTGCGTGCGCGGGTGGGTGCGTGCGTGCGTGCGTGCGTGGGTGGGTGAGTGGGTGGGTGGGTGGGAGAGCGTGTGTGAGCGTGGGTGTGTGCGTGTGCGTGTGTGCGTGTGTGCGTGTGCGTGTGCGTGTGCGTGTGCGTGTGCGTGTGCGTGTGCGTGTGCGTGTGCGTGTGGTGTGGTGTGGTGTGGTGTGGTGTGGTGTGGTGTGTGTGCGCACAGTGTGTGTGTGTGACAGTGTGCGTGCGTGTGTGTGTGTGGGCGCTTCATGTGTGTGTGTGTGTGTGCGTGCGTGAGGGCGTGCATGCGTGCGTGCGTGCTTGGGTGTGTCTGTGTGTCTGTGTGTGTGTGCGTGTACGTGTGTGAGAGACAGCAAGAGCGTGACTGCGGGCGTGCGTGCGTGCGTGCGAGCCTGCGTGGGTGTCTCTGTGTGTGTTTGTCTCTGTGTGTTTGTGTGTGTTTGCGTGTGCGTATGAGAAACAGAGAGACGGAGAGATAGAGAGATATAGAAAACCGTATAATAGGGAAGCAGAGAGAGAGGGAGAGAGAGAGAGAGATAGAGAGAGAGCGTGAGTGCGAGCGCGTGCGTGCGTCCATGAGAGCGTGAGTGCGTGTGCAGGTGGGTGGGTGCGTCGGTGTGTGTGTGTGTGTGCATGCGTGCGTGGGTGGGTGCGTGGGTGTGTGCGTGGGTGCGAGCGTGCGTGTGCGGCTGCGTGCGTGCGTGT